GTGTGTGTGTGTGTGTGTGTGTGTGTGTGTGTGTGTGTGTGTGTGTGTGTGTGAGTGTGTGTGTGTGTGTGAGAATGATTGTTTCTATGTGTGTAGTGATGATAATGCTGCTGTTACTGAATGTGTCTGAGATCTGTGAGAGGAATGAACACCAACTGATATCAAGATTTGCTGCTGCTATTTTATTTATAACATTATTTATCTTTTAAGGTTCATCTTTCGCAGATCAAATTTGTTTTAGTTACTTTACGTGGTTAACATTAAACACAGCTGCTGCTAAATACTTAATATAATTAGTCTGTATGCCACGTGGGTGTTTTAAATCCATACAGAAATATGAAGAGATTTATAATATACACACTGGAAATATTACTTGTTGCTTTCTGTACTCTTTCTGTTTAAAGAAGATTTTATGATCACTGTCAATTACTGCACATATACAACTATTACATGTTAATAATTTAATTACTTTAATTGCTCTGAATGTAGATGTTAGAAAATCTAACTATATTTAGATACAGTGTAGTTATTTATCTGTAATTGTTAATGAAGGGTGTCATCAAATGTCTGTGTTTATGCTTTAATTCTTCATTCTTACTGTTATTTATATTTGGAAGAATTTACATTGTGTTCTGTTCTATATTTCTAGACAGATATATTAATAAATGTTAATACTAAGGCAGAATGAAAAATACAATATAGAATGTGAGTGCAGTGTTACTGAATGAGCATTTTACATTTTTTACATTGATGTGCTCTGTGTTGACGCTTTTTCTTTTAATATTAGTATAATGATTTACAAAGAGGCAACACTTTGTATTTGTTAGACTCTGGTCTCTTCAAATATATAATTTTGAGAACATCTGCTTCACTTACATAAATGCTTAAATGTCTAAATTAGTTTAAAAAAACGATTGATTTGTTTTTTTTATTTTTTTTGCTTCCACATTCATGTTCAGTGAAGCTCCTCCCACAACAATCACACATTCATCAGTTCAGCAATAAATGCTGGTATATCTCCATCAGTTCACAAGTGAAGACGAGCATCTAATCATCAGGAAGAGCTGAAATCTGCAAAGACTGAGTTTATTAAAGAGGACAGAGAGAAGATGAGAGATCCAGAGCCCTGCAGAATCAAACACACTGAAGATACTGAAGAACTAACAGGTTGGTGTTTATTCTTCATTAATGAGGCTGAATGTTATAAAGCTTCAAACAGTATTAGATTTGTTGTAACAGGAAAAATCTTTAGAGCTGTTGAATAATCTAGAGGAAGCATCAAAACCATTCACATGTGATCAGTGTGGAAAGAGTTTCTCATACAAACATCATCTTGTGCTTCACGTGAGAGTTCACACTGGAGTGAAACCATTCACATGTGATCAGTGTGGAAAGAGTTTCTCATACAAACATCATCTTGTGCTTCACATGAGAGTTCACACTGGAGTGAAACCATTCACATGTGATCAGTGTGGAAAGAGTTTCTCATACAAACATCATCTTGTGCTTCACGTGAGAGTTCACACTGGAGTGAAACCATTCACATGTGATCAGTGTGGAAAGAGTTTCTCATACAAACATCATCTTGTGCTTCACATGAGAGTTCACACTGGAGTGAAACCATTCACATGTGATCAGTGTGGAAAGAGTTTCTCATACAAACATCATCTTGTGCTTCACGTGAGAGTTCACACTGGAGTGAAACCATTCACATGTGATCAGTGTGGAAAGAGTTTCTCATACAAACATCATCTTGTGCTTCACATGAGAGTTCATACTAGAGAGAAACCATTCACATGTGATCAGTGCGGGAAGAGATTTTCAAACAAACATCATCTTGAGCGTCACATCAGTGTTCACACTGGAGAGTGGCCGCACACAAGCGATCAGTGCGGGAGGAGTTTCACACAAAAAAGAAACCTTATGGAGCATATGAAAATTCATACTGGAGAGAAACTGTATGCATGTGATCAATGTGACAAAACATTTTTGAGTGCTTCATACCTGAAGCAGCACCTGAGAGTTCATGCAAAGGAGAAGCTACATTCATGTCATTTGTGTGGAAAGAGTTTTTCATGTTTACAATATTTGAAAGAACATCAGAAAATACATACTGCTGTGAGAGAGTACATGTGCTTTGAGTGTGAAAATACTTTTACTACAGCGCAGTGTTTAAAACGGCACGAGATGATTCACACTGGAGAAAAACCTTATAAGTGTTCAGACTGTGACAAGAGATTCAGTGATTCAGGACATCTGAAAAGACACGAGAGGATCCACACTGGAGAGAAACCGTATCACTGTTAATTTCGTTGACGAATAATTTTCATCAACAACATTTTTTCACCGATGGGAACGAGACGATAACTCCTTTTGAATGACAAAAACAAAAATCTATTGACATTTTTGTCAATGATTAAAAACGAGACGAAAATGTTAGGGTGGGACGATTGGACAGATCATTCAGTCAGAACGAATCTCCTGCGTGGAAAGGAGGGGAGATGCACACATGTGAACTGTAACGCTCTGAATCTGATCATAAGTTTGCATACACTTGCTGCATGTCTCCTAAAATGTAAAAAATGTCAGCGCCTGGGAGTAAGAGAGAGCACAATATGGATACATTTGAAAAGTGTGACGGCACGAAAGAGCGCTTAATTCGGTCCGGTTTTCTGAGCGCACAGCCGAATCCTGCACAAAACCCAGATAGCACATGTACATCGAGGAGATGTCTGCTAAAGAGCGTATCATCTTGTAAACATCTGATTTTTTTATAGTCTTATTTTGATTGTCTGTAGATCGGCTGTTTGAGCTGTTAAATAAGACGTCTTCCCTACCTCTAAATGACATCTATACGACGTCTCTTTATCAACCGAAATATGCCAGTATGTGTGTCAGGACGGGAAGCTGCAGACCACCTGCTATACTTGATTAATTTAAAGGGAAATACGTGAAGAAATAACGATTATTTAAAATCCATATTCTGTGATATTTGCTTTTCTTTCTACAAGAACCTATAGCATGTTTAAAAGCAAACATCGCATTGTTTTGTAGATAGACTTTGCATCAATGGATCCATATTCCTTGTCCCATTTTTGTCTTATATTAGCCTATTTTTGTGAAAATGCAGAACTCCACAAATACAATTCAATCATGCATATGCTATAAAATGGATGGAAATGTTTTTAATGATAAAAAGAGCTTGTTTTATTAAAAGCAAGACTTAATATCTCATATCAAAGCAAGGTTTTTTTTCAAGGACACGTGTGTTTCGTAAGGCTTCAAGATTGGCCAATGACGGAGTTGACATTCAACATGAAGTCATCATATTTTTTGTAGTTTAGGGGTATCATATGATGTTTGAATGTGAATATTAAGATCCTGGTGAATGTAAATGGATAGAGGTAACAGTTATATGAACAAATAAATAAATTAGTTGTTTTTAAAAGTTACCGTGATACTATAGCAGATGCACAGCAGACATACTGTTCTGAGACGAGAGAAAATAGATCATTTGTGTTCCAATGATATATCAAAATACTTAAATGTGACTCTTGAATAAAAGCTTTATAAACAGTAGGGCTGCAACAACTAATCGATAAAATCGATTATGAAAATCATCGACAACGATTCTCATTATCGATTAATCGGGTCTACCCACAGTGGTACTTGATACTCACAGACTTGTCCAACTTCAGCCGGTCGCGTCAAATTAAATCACTGAATTACTTATTTCTATGGACAAAATGCATCTAAAATAGTGGAGAAAACAGAATGAGATGCTGCAGGAGAGTTACGTGATCCAAGCTGCCCAAAACATGAGAATTCTTTATTTTAAGCTTTAAGCTAATGCATTGGCGTAATGGCTTGCCCTGTCGGGCGCTTTAACAGATGCGTGTGCGTCCTCAGCGCAAAAAAAAACTTTCAGTTAACGGTCATATCCTT